AATTAGCGTCAGTCAGTCAGTCAGTCAGTCAGTCAGTCAGTCAGTCAATCACGATCGTCTATATATATTAGATAATGATCCTTATGATGCAAAGTGTCCCAGAGCCAAGAACAGGAGCTGGTCCAAGAGTAATGTACGAAGCAAAAATTTTTATAACTAGTGGCAGGTAAACCTACTGCTAACCGAAGGAAACAGAATGCTCTGTTGTCATGGAAGGAGCTACCATGATCTTCAGGAGCTACCACCGAAGTAGCACCAAAACATGTTCAATAAACGTTTCATTCAAGGTATTGCCAATGCTCTAATAACGTTCTTGGGAACGTTCTATTAACTGCGTGAATATCCGAGATATGGAGCGATCAAAAACAGTTCCAAATATGCGTTCCTTGTCGAATCAAACTACATCTCATCGAGGACGCTTGAAATTCCTGAATTCCTTGAAGCAGGCGGGAAGCACTGCAGTTAGCGATGCAATTGTTCCCTTTCGAGTACCACTGCAACTCTCGTTTCTTCTCCATCCGGAAGATGACGTCACGAGAGCTATCTTAAATTTTCCATGAAAGTTGCCTCTCCTTTTCGTGAGGCCGATTGGAAAATTTCATTTCATAAAGGCATATCTTTGAATGATAATGAATATTTTCTTGAAAATCTCAGTTCATATCACGAAGCTTTTGGCCTGTGGAGCTGTGACGCAGACAAACAAACATTCGTCGCGGTACTTAGCTAGCCGTCAAGATCGCACACGCGATATATTGAACCTTCAGACATCGGTTGCTGCGCAATCACGGTCATCCGGTTTGAAATGCAGAAATGCTATCAGTGGTAAAGTATACTGTACATGGTCACTAATACGCTACAGTAGTTTCACTTCTAAAAGCTTCAAGTTACTGTTCTCGTTTTTCTCTGTTCACCTATTAGCATTAATAACATTAACATATACATTTTATGTCTGAGAAAAGGCAAAACCAGGTAACACGTAGCAGTGGGTTGCAGAATTTGAGAGGAGAGTCGATTCATGATGTTTACATTTTTCTCGTCACGTCCTTTTAGGATCACCTGTTTTTTTTTTCAGGGTGGGGGGGTTAGAGGCCTATGCGATCACTCACTATGCATCACTCGTGGCAATGTAATCATGCAATAAGAAAAAACAATGGTCAATATTTGTGACAGCACAATGTGCTACTCTCCCTTTCATGTGCGTGTGCCTTTCCATTTACGAGCATATTCCATGATATTGTTAATTTTTTAGCCTTGGAGGATTTACGGATTGTTCAATGCTTCGAATTAGTTGGCTTGAATTAATCGATGTCCGGAGGCTAAATGCATAGCTTGCGCGATCCTGACCGTTAGTTAGGTCATGTGATAAATGTGTTTTTCTGCGTGAGTTCTACGGGCCAAAAGCTTCGAGAAATGAAATGGCGTTTCAACAGAAATGGTCATCATTTGATGACATATCTTTAAGAAGAGAAATTTACGAAGCGTCTCACGAATGTGAGGAGATGCAACTTTCACGGAAAATAGCAGATCCGCTCTCGTCTCGCCATTTTTCGGATATACGAGGAGTCGAGAGTTGCGACGATTCTCCCGAAGGATACGCAGGCATCTCTTACTGCGGTGCCTGTTGCTGGGAATAAAGGGATTTAAGTTCGAGACGGCTCGAGACGCTTAACGGCTCCGAAGAAAGTTATACACGAACAATATGAACGTTTTGCCATGTTCGTAATGCAGGATAAATTCAGCAACATAATGTAGATGTAGCAACATGGAAAACAACCATATTCCAAAAAATTCAACATTTTAAAAAAACTCGGCAAAAAAATGTTTTTTGGGACCATGCGTCCTGATGGCAGGACGCATTTTTTGACAAAAAATGCGCGTGGTCCCACGCGGCGGACAAGCAAAAATAGGCTGGTCCTCAACGTGTTAAATGAGACATGGTTAACTTCGGGAATAAATTTATAAGGGGAACCATACGAGTACTTGGGGAATTTATTGCATCCACATGTTCATTTCATTTTTCCCAATCATATGTATTTTTTTATTATGTTCCGACACTGCAGTGCAACAGGTCCCTTTGTGCGAACTTCCTGATAGGTCCACGTTACACCTTTGGAGTGCTGAAAATCCACTGACAAGATCTGAACGTCCGAAAACCAATCCTTGAACAAAGCTCCAATGAGGCGGGAGTATCTTGATCAATGACAACGTATGGAATGAGACCATACGTTGACACAATATGTCTAGAGACCCAACGGATGATGAGCGTTGCCAGGCCTCTTCTTCGATGATTTTCCTTCACGTAGAGCATCCCCTGGCCACCATATGAAAGCAAGATATACCATCCTGCCAACTCGTCTGTAAAACAAATTCCATTCAAAAGTCACGCTATTTTTCGCCTTATTTCGCCGTAAGATCAATTTTACGGCAATGCAAACGATGGAAACTCGGACAATTCAATGATACGATGAGAATACTCAGAAGATGAATGCCTCATATGGTTCCCAACGGACTTGCTTGTGTCAGTTTGTAATTTAGAGCATCGTGTACTTTCAATATCCAGAAAACGTACGTCCGACCTGAAACAGAGTTTACGCCAATATCGTTTGCTGTTTTCCCTGCCGAGTGATTATCTAGTAAGCAACACGTTGTGTCCTCGAGAAACCATCAGTAGAAATGGGGTTGGATAGATGTTTTGAGCGATTTTCTATGAATGACATGTTTCTTTCACAAGAATGTTGACATGGAATCAATGAAACCAATGCTTTCGAGTCATTCATGGGCAATGTCCATCAAGTCTGATATTTAAAAATACGTCCCATCATGGAAACGGATGTGCACCATTATGAACTTCCGCTTCAGCTTCGACAACTGCTGAAATCGCCACTTGACCATGTCTTCCCAGAGAAATTCCCCGGAAATCGACTCCTCATGAAACAGCAGAATTTAAGAATACTGAAAAATCTGCAATTCCACTAAGGTCACATTACGTTAACGGACTCAGGAAAACCAAAGCGATTTTGCAGTAGAAAAATATATTATTTTTTAATTAATCCGTATTTAATGTAATTCAAGTCTGAAAAGTGTTTTGCAAATGATTATATTTTATTTCTATCACTTGTGACTGGAAAGAAAACCCTGAAAACATCACTTCTAAACCGCACATTGAAAAATGTGCCCCTTCTGGGTCACTCTGTATATGCAGGGTGGCCCCCTGAGAAATATATGAATATTTGAAAAGTAAAAAAGGAACTTTCTTTCCAAAGAAATTAGGCTTTTAAATTTTGAAGGATTAATAATTAAAACATTATGAAAAATAAGGCAGCAGGTTTTTTCGGGCAACCCTATATATCGGACATATTAGGCATTGGAAAGGGCAATGAGGACGGCACCATCCAGCAAGGGCAGGAATATGTCATACTTGAACGTCTTTGAGTGTTTTCCATTCATCTGATCATTGGAGACCTGGTCAACGAGATCAAAATTAACCATGTCGCATTTTCTGTTTTAAAGTGCTTCCTTGAATATCACGATGTCAATTAAAACACACAACAAGCATTGCTAATATGTTGAAGAAGACTAAATCTCTGGCAGGTAGTAATAACAATAGATTGCTCTGTGACATGGCATGACTGATTCAAATTATTATTTCCTACAAATGAAAAGTTACATATCCATGAAAGAAGCATTATTATCATCATCATATCATCATCATATCATTATCGTATCATTATCATATCAGCATTATTTAATTTCTTTCATATGTTGTGCATCGGAAAACTTTCCATGAGAAACCATGAGGATGTGTTTGACTTACCGGGATTCTTCATGAATATACCAAAGCCACGGCCCAATATCAACATATTTTTCACTCTTTCTAAAGTGTTGGGACCTTTGTACCTCCAGTTGTCACTCACCAGATCTGCATGCTCTACACTCAATTTCTTGATCTCCAAATCATCAGGAATCCTGCTGGGAAAAAGAAGACGCTGGTATTTCTTCCAAAAGGGGGATTTCGATTGGATGTGCCTTCCTATTACACATAGTGCAAAAAGATGCGAGTCAGTCAGGCTATAATGCGAAGAGGAAGGGACTCTTATGCACCAAAAGGTTAGTCCTAATCTGCCAGGGGATGTTGGAAGCCTCAACAGAGCCAGTAGACTCAGACAAACTATTCATCAGGTATGTTTCAAGATGATGTCACATAAGAGTGGCTGGTGAAGTTGGTGGTTCGCCTCACTAATGAAAACATTTAACGGGAAACATTTCCAAGTCGCTTGCACTTTCTTAGGAATTCTGAATATAAATGGAATGTCTGTCGAGTGTTTGTGAAACCATTTCTTATGACAAATTGCTTCCCTTCTTAAAAAAACAGGTAGGCTGTTCACCTATTAAGAGACTTGCACCTGCAACTACGCCATCAGATACATGTATGTGGAAAAGTTGATACACTTTGGTCATTTCCATTCAGTTATCTTAGCAGGAAAAAGTTACAATATGTTGGCGTGCTTTCAGATTCAGAGCATTTAGGATTTCAGGATGATGTGTTCTATCTCTTACCTTTCATTCCATTTCAGAGCTAGATGTCTGTCACATATCAATTCCAAAATTGCATCTGGACCCTCCATAAGAGGAGAGGCACATTTTTCTCGGCCAACTTTTGTAACGATGTCCCAGTATCGATGTGGCAATACGGAGAAGGTGAAACGTTCTCTCCAATCTAATGTCTTAATGCACTTCTCCAACAGTTCCAAGTCGGATCCAATGCAGCAAATGATGTAGGTCGGTTCCTGAACTGGGTATCGCTGCCACTCCGGCTAAAATCAAAATTGGATTTTAGGAATTATTATTTGCATTTCTTCGAGCATTGTTAGCTCTTTTGAATGAAACGGACTGTTCAACTCACATATGACAGGATGACTACGTTCGGATCATTTGGAAGAGCTGGAACTAGTGCCTTAGTTGACGGTAGAAGCCCTGCCTGCATCATAACTAGTATATTGTATGCCTAACATAGGAAATGAACAAAATTGAGAACACAGAGGAATTCATGTACTAATCAATTAATCCTAACAGTTTCGAATATGAATAATGAGCAAATTGCGAACAATACTTATGAGAATGTTACCCCAAATGAACATCAAAGAGGGGAACGATATGTTTCCCATTGCTTCTCATATATTCATCCCAATTTAAGACCTTTTGTGAGACCCTCACAATAAATTGGAAACAAAATGTAATCATGCTTTATGAAACTTCAGATTCATATATGTCTAATATTAAATTTATGACCAGTAAATTGAATGTCACATATACCGCCCTTCAGAATTCAAGAAGTATAACCTATATACTTTTCCTCTCTGTCTTGCCCTCAGGTTACACAACGGGATATCTATCCACGGAATACATGACTCGAAAATATGGACCCACTGCATGAACTCTCTAAAAGTACAAAGTATAGGATAGTGGGTAGAATGGTTCAAAATGTAGCACTCACAGTGACAGACTCCGGTAGGTAGGTCTGAAGATGTTCCTGGAGACCCTTCAGCTCATTTCTCTCCACAACACGTAACTTCACTTCCTCTGTCATGAACGAAGTGTTTCTTCCCTAAAGTAGATGAATTGAATGCACATGTGTAAGTGTGGTAGAGATTCAACAGTCCTCCAACTAATTGTTAATACCAATACATATTTAAACAAGATGGGCAAGCCCAGTCTACAAGTGGGCCTCCTTTCATTTAAGGAGACCCACATGTTGGCACCCAACGGAAGAAAATACCAACTCTTCCCAGTTCTGAGTAATCTAAAAGCATCATTTTCCAGTCACGTTTTAAAAATTACCCATGATCCCCATGGAATGACAATCGGAGGGTGGAGGGTTGATTGTGCTTGTAGCCAACCACCACGAAGGTTGGTAAGGAACCGACAGCTTTCTTTGTTGACATGACACCGCGCCCGTAGCTCTGATCGTATGCGCATGCGCATTGTGATCCATTTCCTGAAGGTATCACAGGTGTTCATGCCACCCGCTCCGTGACTAACTCTCAAATCTAGAATTTCCAATACAAATTCCAATTTTGATGCAAATTCTCCATAAAACTAATACATCCCGTATCTTGTTCATATTTACCAGCTTGCCAATTTTCGGATTATTCAGACAAATATTTTCATTGTTATCGTCGGACAACCTAAGTGTATCACACGGACGCACAAGACGGGACCATGCGTCGTCTGTTTCCTTTCAGGAAAGGAGGTTCAATAAAAAGGATGTAGGCAACGTGAACGACCAACTTTGACAGTTATGGCCAATCACGAAGAAGACAAATACATTTTGTCGTGCACTGTCTTCATGCTATTTATTAATAAAAACTGCCAGTTTCTCAAAGCGAATCAAACTCCTGGAAAATTATATGCTTCTTCATTGCTGAATAGTTGTCTTCATGAGGCAAATATTCAGAAAAATTCCAAATCAATTGCGCTCATCAGAATGCTCGGAATACCGTTTTCTGCGCTGAAGACAAGAGCGGCTAATTCCATTTCAAATCAGGCTGGCCCATATTTTCCAGTCAGGTAATAGTCTTCCATGCTTTAAAAAAATATTGGTCCTCCCATTATAATTATGAAATTTGATTGGTTACTTACCTTCGTATCTGCTATTGATTCAGTGAAGAACATTTTATTCATGGAGGGCTCTAAAAAGGACGACATTCCAAACCTCTCTTTCCCCCACTTTCAATTTCCTGTATCTGCTATGCTAATATATTTCTCATATATATATTTTTCATTATTTATTTATTTATTTATTTATATATATGTATTATGTATATTTTTAATTAAAAAATAATCACTTACAAGAAAGTGTGTACCGTGCACTCATGGAAATGAACCTGGTTATGCTTTCATAAATTCGTATTTGGCCATTTTTAAATTCAGAAAATATGTTGAATTCGCCCGTTTATGGCGATTTTTGTCGTTAGTTACATGCGTCTCCCATCTTAAATTAAAGAAACTTTCTGAAACGACAGGCATCTATGCATCTCTGGATTTCATTTTGCATTAATATCATTCATGTCTAACTTGATATTAATTGACAAATGCCGTTTTCCGAAATCGTACCATCGGCCATCGGCCTCTGACGCCAGTACCCTATGGAGGTGCAATGCGAAAAAAAATTACATGAGGTTGATTCCACGGCTAGGCGCCGGCCCTCCTTTCTCACTGAAAGCGAGTACTGCCAGCCTCTTCCAAGCAAACCTATCGCTTGCATTATGTTACAGCCGTTTTATAGAAACCAACGGAGACGGAACAAAAATAAAGAGCGGGAAAAATTGCATCTACATTTATGTTGTGCTCTTGCACGGGATGTCAATAAATGCTCTCAACTGAAGCAATTGGTAGCAAGCCGACCACTGACAGCCTCAGAGAAACACAGACAGGCTCGATCGGACCAATTTGGATTTCCATTATTTCAAGGGGGCCTACTGATAAGTACCACATTATTTCAAAGTGGGCCTATTAAAAGTTATAAGCGGTTTATTCTATAGGCCACAATTGGCGCATGCACTGTTATCCGCACTGGAACCAACCGATGGATATGAGGAAGAAATCGGCCCTCGGCCCACCTTCCAAATGTGGCCACCATACAGCCCTAGTCATAACTAGGGCTGTCACGATAGATCGATGCATCGATACCACTATCGATAGTTGGAGATATCGATAGTTTTTTCGACCGTCGCGATGCATCGGCAATATATTTTTAAGGGAAAATATCCCATTGGATTGAGGCAAGTACTGTACAATACAGTCCGTCCAGACGGGAAAGGAAGAAGCGGCGTGACCCGCATGGGCTTGGAATTTCTAATCACAATTATATTCTGGAAATGCTGGGACTGACTATATTAAAGACGGGAAAGGAAAAAAAAAGTCAGATCGGAGACAGCAAGTGGGAAAGGAGAGGTGGGGGGGAAGCCCAAGAATATTTTATTATCGTCAGTTACAGTCTCTGGCTCAATCTCATCAGGTGCATGCGGCAGATGTGGACTGTTCTTATACTCCCTTGATTTCGAAACGTACATTGCTTAATCCCCTCTCTGTATTTCTGTCTATCACTTTAGTATGCAGGCTTAACTTTTTAAAATGTAAATTTGCCTTGAGCGTTTTATCTCTACTTAAGGTGAAATCGAAGTGAATGACATGGACGTTGCTTATTCCAGGCCTGTACCGATGTTTCAGCAATCGCCGGTGTGGCACCATCAGCAGGTTTCCTATCTGCCGATGCCGACGTCCAAAGACTGTGTAGAACGAAGAAAATTAGGGCTGTCCTGATGCATCCATCGATGAACAGATGTCATTTTCGATAGTTGGAGGCATGGTAGGTTTCATTACTCTTTGCGAAGGTCACACATTCCCCTTGCACCCCCTATCACAAGCATGAGATTATGGAATCCGGATAGAGGTCCGCGCTCCGATCGCGGTGAGAAAAGATGGAATCCTCCGCCCCCCCCCCCCCCCCCCCCCCCCCCCCCCCCCCACCCCGAGCGCGGGGAGAAAAAATGGAATCCCCCCCCCCCCCCCCCCCCCCCGAAGCATCGATACGCTATCGATAGTTTAGGTCGATGCATCGATGCTTTGAAAACTGCTATCGTGACAGCCCTAGTCATAACTACATAGTATGAGTTCGTGAAAACACTATTATTTACCTCTTTCCAGCCATCAAGAATTTTCCGAAAACAAGCCCACAAGTGTTGATACATAAACTTCCGTTGACTGTGTCATCTCCGAAATTCATCAGTTACGGCGGTTTGATGGAGGAAGCAATGCGTATACTAAATCGAATTTTAAACATGTTATATGTTTTTCACACTTCCATTGGAATACTGAAATACTGTTCAAACGCCATGGAGAAGACTCAATTTTACAGTGCTGAACAAAAATCGGAACGGGTCTATCTGAGGAACTGAGCGAGATTAGCGATTGTGGTTGAGTGCGCCAAGAGAACGCATCGTGTCCTCATCATCGGTAAGTTTGGGCTTCGATTTTTGACTGAAACAATTTTTTGGAGAAATGGATAATAATAATATACTTTTCCGTAATCGTGGTGATAACGATAAAACAGCGCCGGGAAATTGTTTTCCTCTGTACACATGAGCTTCGTCCCAAGTTTTATTTGGCTGCTGCTGCACATCTCGTTGGCTCCTCGAAGTCGACGGCGCATCAATTAGTCGAAACGTTCAGAAGGACCGCTGGCGCGGTGGACGATCAGTTGAAATTTTTTGCACAATAAGCTCATTCTCATTTCCCGTGGTGTCCCGTATTTCTCTCTTTCCCAATTCATCCGCCACCCCGTTGATCTTTTTAAACGGTTTGACCTAGTGATGTTTGACTTAGTGATGAGCAATCGACTTCGAGTAGCCAATGTAGCAGCAGTAAAAAAAATTGAGATCAAGCTCATAGGTACAGAGGAAAACAAATTTCCGATGCTGCTTCATCATTATGACCATGATTATAGGAAATAATCATCATTATCCATTTCTTCGAAAAAGGGTTTCAATCGAAAAGTGAATTCCAATCTTTACGGATTATCAGAACCCAAGGAGTCCTGTCACCACACTTAACCAAAATCGCTAATCTCGCTACGTTCCTCAGATGGACCTGTTCGGTTTTTTTTGTTGTCCAGCACTGTATTTCTTTAAGATGCTCGAAGAGAAACATGGGAGCACGAGTATAGGATAAGGGGACGTCATTAAGATTGAGTGAAGTGCTGTAGCAACTTTTGATTCAAGGCGATAGGCTACGAATACTCGAGCATCAATGAACCCCATTGTGGAAATATCGTAGACGTTTAAGTTTGGAGGCTTAGTCTACCGCATATACGCACTGCATCCCCATCGCACGAAACGAAGCGAAAACACCGCACAGAACTGCACTAGAAAATGGAGAAAGCGATCCCGTTAGAACACCTGAGAGACGCACGAGCTAAGAACACGTGTGGAAGGAAAGTGATAGGGCAGGGAGGCCAGGAGGCCACTCGCTCTCGCGCTTGCGCGTGAATCCATCAACAGTCAATGCATTGCCCCGAGGGTTTATGAAGGAGCCCTTCTTCCTTTCGATGAAGTGGAAGACGGCGGTTGCCAAGCGTCTCGACCGGTCTCGACGCTGCAAGGCCACTCAAACCATCCCTCTCGACTCGGCTATACCGCAGACGCATTTAGGCTTTGTAGACGCCTTTCAGTCGACCTTGCAGAGTCGGGAAGAGACTGGTATGAACACGAATTCCACGTCTACTAGATGCCCGTGGCCGCAATTGCGGCATACTACCCATACATACATATTTTTTCTTACTGCTCATCAACTAGGAATAGACTTACCTAGGTTCCCACAGCCGACATTTGAACTATAATTCACTTCGCATATGCATCAAAGAGATGCTGAGGCGTCGCGTTCTATATATGCCAATATGTGCAATTCATAACTAAGCTTAATTAGTGAGTAAAGTAAATAAAAAATGGAAGGAACCATGAAAGATCAAGAAACGGGAGAAACGTGGGAACGAAGCGGAAAGTTTACATCATAATGAACAAAAAACTTATCGAGGAACGAATTTGACGAACAAAGAAGCGCTTCTTCAAAGACCACATCGTCGGTAACGGTACCAGCATCAGTTTTTCCCTGTTTCGGTCCATTGATAAGCTGAATCGTCAGCAATCGCCTGGTAAGCGCACGAAGAGCTCAGATGGATAGCCCTGTACTGATGGAAATGTTTCATTGCCCAAATGGAGTACATCGAGTTTCGTTTCCCGCAGCTTGCATGCTTTGTGTCAAACGAATCTTTCGAAACGATGGCCACAAAGGGCTCGTTTCGACGCAAGTCTCAATAATTTAACCGCAAGATGCTTTGCGGACGCCTGGCAACACTTAGCAAATGTCACCACCCAGCACAACTACTTCCCCACCGAATCGCTCATCGTCCAGCGACTCTTGACACGCCCTCTCCAGCGTTGCAGCACATCAGCGGGCGCCATTGGGGCTTTATCCCAAATGATGACTTTGGTAGCTCGAATCATCGCCTGA